TTCATTTTGTCTCCTTCATCTCAGCAGAGCTTTATCTTCTTACTGTCATGTCCTATGATAGCTACGTTGCCATCTGCAAACCCTTGCACTACGGGACCCTCCTGGGCAGCAGAGCTTGTGTCCACATGGCAGCAGCTGCCTGGAGCAGTGGGTTTCTCACTGCTCTCCTGCAGACAGCCAATACATTTTCACTGCCCCTCTGCCAGGGCAATGTCCTGGACCAGTTCTTCTGTGAAGTCCCCCAGATCCTCAAGCTCTCCTGCTCAGACACAGACTATCTCAGGAAAAATGGTATTACTTTACTTCTTACTTTTTTATTCTTAGTGTGTTTTGTGTTCCTTGTGGTGTCCTATGTGCAGATCTTCAGGGCTGTGCTGAGGATCCCCTCGGAGCAGGGACGGCACAAAGCCTTTTCCACGTGCCTCCCTCACCTGGCCGTGGTCTCCCTGTTCATCAGCACTGGCTTCTTTGCCTACCTGAAGCCCCCCTCCATCTTATCCTCATCCCTTGTTCTGCTGTTGGCAGTTCTGTACTCAATGGTACCTCCAGCAGTGAACCCCCTCATCTATAGTATGAGGAACCAGGAGCTCAAGGATGCCCTGAGGAAACTGATCGGATGGTCTGTGCAACATTGACAGTAATTTGGCTCCCCCTCTCTGAGAAGTGCCCAGAATTCTTTTTAGACCAGGACTCTGATTTTTTTTTTTTTTCCTGATAATCATGCAACAATTGCTTGGGTTCATCTCTTGAGGTTCTGTCCGGTTGTCACTCATCCTTGAAGAACATTTATCTGTTGTTAGCTGTTTTTACTTATTCTCACCTTGTGCAGTAGAAGGGGATCTCCTGAGTCTGGTGGATGCAGGTTGGGCTGCAAAAGGGAACATAACTCCAATATTCAAAAAAGGAAACAAAGAAGACCTGGGGAACTACAGGCCGGTCAGTCTCACCTCTGTGCCTGGCAAGATTATGGAGCAGATCCTCCTGAAATCTTTGCTAAGGCACATGGAAAATAAGGAGGTGATTGGCAACAGCCAACATGGCTTCACCAAGGGCAAATCGTGCCTGACAAATTTGGTGGCCTTTTACGATACTGCCACAGACTTGGTAGACAAGGGCAGAGCAACTGACGTCATCTACCTGGACTTATGCAAAGCATTTGATGCTGTCCCACACGACATCCTGGTCTCAAAATTGGAAACCCATGGAGTCGATGGATGGACCACTCGGTGGATAAGGAGCTGGCTGGACGGCCGCACCCAAAGGGTGGCAGTCAATGGCTCAATGTCCATGGCTCAATGTCCAGTAATGAGTGGTGTTCTGCAGGGGTTGGTACTGGGACCAGTGCTATTTAACATCTTTGTGGGAGACATGGACAGGGGGATAGAGTGCACCCTCAGCAAGTTTGCTGATGACACCAAGCTCGGTGGGGCAGTTGACACGCTGGAAGGAAGGGATGCCATCCAGAGGGACCTGGACAGGCTGGAGAGGTGGGCTCGTGCAAATTGCATGAGGTTCAACCAAGCCAAGTCCAGGGTCCTGCGGCTGGGACGTGGCAACCCCAGGCACAAATCCAGGTTGGGTGGAGAATGGCTGGAGAGCAGCCCTGAGGAGAAGGACTTGGGAGTGCTCATGGATGAGAAGCTCAGCATGAGCCGGCAGTTTGCGCTGGCAGCCCAGAGAGCCAACTGTGTCCTGGGCTGCATCAGGAGAAGTGTGGCCAGCAGGTCTTGGGAGGTGATTCTGCCCCTCTACTCTGCACTCGTGAGACCCCACCTGGAGTACTGTGTTCAGCTTTGGAGTCCTCAGCACAGAAAGGACATGGACCGGCTGGAACAGGTCCAGTGGAGGGCCACGAAGATGATCAGAGGGA